AATTGGCTATAAAACCAATATTTGATGAAATATTTTCAAGACTGCATTCACAAACTCCAGACTTCTTGCAGCCCTTGAAAAGTTTCTATCAGAAGTATTGGAATCTGGCTGAAAAAGATGGAAATAATAGAAAGCTCCCCCTCCCCCCAAAAGGCATAGCAGACTGGAACTACTAAAGGGGCAGAATTAAGATTTTTAGGGAGTTAATAATAAGAACTTGCATAAAATTCCAGCAGATATAAAGTCTTGGAATTTTATGCACTAAGGCATATTTTTAAGTTACATAAATTAATCATGATGAGTTATGCTGCGTGACATCAAGACAGCATAAAATCTAATTCAGCAGTATACATTATGGCTCAACATCACAACATAGCTAAACATAACAACTGTCTACAAGTATCAAGGCCAAGTCATGGGCAGCTTGCCTAGTGGCTACACCCAAGGCCAGATGTCAGGAATCTGAGTCATTTGTCAATACATGATCAGAAACCAGAAGTGGAAACAAGGCCAAGTCAGAAACCAAGTATCAAAGCCAGGAGACAAATGCAGGGCTCAGGAATCAGAAGCAAAGCAAGAAAATAGGGCCCATAGCAGCAACTAGCTGAGGTTCTGCCCTGTTGCACAGACAAACTTCCTGCAGCTTCCAAAGATTTAAATAGGATGTACGGACCAATCAGGAATCCAGAATGTCCTGTCAATCAGGGCCTCCTCTGAGTGGCACATCCTGTGCGGGGTGGTACCCTAGGGCTCATGACTCCCTGAATATAACTGCTACTAAAGCAGTTAAGTGTGGTGTCATGGATGTGATTGATGCCCAGGGACTCTGCAAGTCCAGGTTCTAGGACCCCCCCCCCACCTCTATGCCTTCTAACAAGTGTCTGATGGGTGTATTACTGAGAAAGGAAAATAGTTGTTTTAGGTGGTAAAAGAGAGCATGACTAGGACTAACAGGTCTACAGCAGGGACTTTGGTAGAGTTTGCAATGTTAAGGCATTTAGTTCCTGAGAGCAAACTACTGGGGAGAAGGGGCTTTTCTTACATGGGTCTCTGCACCAAGCTGTGTTTGGGGTGAGAGCTGACTGGCAGCCCCACGGCAGCTGTGAAGATAAAAAGGGCTGTAAGGTAGGCAGGCGGAGTGGCTACTAGAGAGGCAGTAGGCTTCTGGAAAGTAGCTTCTGCCAACAAACTGATGAGAAGAAAGAAAACAGAGAGAGAAAACAGAATAGGAGGCTAGAAAGTCCACAGAGGTAAGAAGCAACTCAGAGAACAGCAAGGAACTTGAGATGGGTTAACTCTGGCTGCTTTGAACCAGGGCCCTGAGCTGGAACCCAGTGGCATAGGCGGGACCTGGTTTTCCTTACCTCTTTCCCAGACTAAGAAGGGAAAGGGAAAATGGTCAAAGACTATAAGTATTATACAGAGGCCAGAGGAGAGATTCTGAGACGGTTGGACGTTGAGTTCCTTATTTTTAGACTCTTCTGTGCCTGTGAAATGGGATAGACTGAGCAGGGACTTAACCAATGACAGATTGTTTTGATGCCAGAAGGGCTGGAAAACGAGTTGGACTGAATGAACCACTATGGTACTATGCCCAGACACAGAAAGGTGCTTTAGAGGTGAGCGTATGTTCCTACACCATGTGAAAGTGACCTAAGCCCAGAGGTAAGTGGGGGAGTGGAATACTGGGAGGAAACACAAGGAGGAGGGTACAAGATGGGAAGCCTCCTGATTCATACTGAGAAAGTAGGGCAATCGGCTAGTTTTCTTAGGTTCATGTACATGAATGCAAGAAGCCTGGGAAAGAAGCAGGAAGAATTGGAAGTCCTGGCACAATCAAGGAACTACAACATGATTGGAATAACAGAAACTTGGTGGGGCAGTTCACATGACTGGAGCACTGTCATGGATGGGTATAAATGGTTCAGAAAGGACAGTTAGGGGAAGAAAGGAGTTTCATTGTATGTAAGAGCGGTATGATTGCGCAGAGCTCCAGTTTGAAACTGGAGAAAAGCCTGTTGAGAGTCTTTGGGTTAAGTTTAGAGGCGAGAGCAACAAGGGTGATGTCGTGGTGGGCGTCTGCTATAGCCCACCGGATCAGAAGGATGAGGTAGACGAGGCTTTCTTCGGACAACTAACTGAAGTTTCCAGATCACAGGCCCTGGTTCTAAAGGGGGACTTCAATCACCTTGACTTCTGCTGGGAGAGCAATACAGCAATGCACAGACAATCCAGGAAGTTTTTGGAGAGTGTTGGGGACAACTTCCTGGTACAAGTGCTGGAGGAACCGACTAGGGGCCGTGCTTCTCTTGACCTGCTGCTTACAAACAGGGAAGAATTGGTAGGGGAAGTAGAAGTGGGTGGCAACTTAGGCAGCAGTGACCATGAGATGGTTGAGTTCAGGATCCTGACAAAGGGAAGAAAGAAGAGTAGCAAAATACAAACCCTGGACTTCAGAAAAGCAGACTATGACTCCCTTAGGGAACTGATGGGCAGGATACCCTGGGAAGCTAATATGAGGGGGCAAGGAGTCCAGGAGAGCTGGCTGTATTTTAAAGAAGCCTTATTGAGGGCGCAGGAACAAACCATCCCGAAGTGCAGAAAAATAGCAAATATGGCAGGCAACCAGCTTGACTTAACAGTGAAATCTTTGGTGAGCTTAAATTCAAAAAGAAAGCCTACAAGAAGTGGAAATTTGGACAGATGACTAGGGAGGAGTATAAAAATATTGCTAGAGCATGCAGGGGTGTAAGCAGGAAGGCCAAGGAACAATTGGAGTTGCAGCTAGCAGGGGATGTCAAGGGTAACAAGAAGGGTTTCTACAGGTAAATTAGCAACAAAAAGAACGTCAGGGAAAGTGTGGGACCCTTACTGAATGGGGGAGGCAACATAGTGACAGATGATGTGGAAAAAGCTGAAGTACTCAATACATTTTTTGCCTCAGTCTTCACAGACAAAGGCAGTTCCCAGACTGCTGCACTGGGCAACACAGCATGGGGAGTAGGTGAGCAGCCTTCAGTGGTGAAAGAACAGGCTAAGGACTATTTAGAAAAGCTGGACATGCACAAGTCCATGGGTCCAGATCTAATCATCCAAGGGTGCTGAGGGAATTGGCTGATGTGATTTCAGAGACATTGGCCATTATCTCTGAAAACTCATGGCGATCCGGGGAGGTCCCGGATGACTGGAAAAAGGCAAATATAGATAGTGCCCATATTTTAAAAAGGGAAGAGAGAGAACCCAGGGAACTACAGACCAATCAGCCTCACTTCAGTCCCCAGAAAAGTCATGGAGCAGGTACTCAAGGAATCCATTTTGAAGCACTTGGAGGAGAGGAAGGTGATCAGGAACAGTCAACATAGATTCACCAAGGGCAAGTCATGCCTGATCAACCTGATTGCCTTCTATGAGGAGATAACTGGCTCTGTGGATATGGAGAAAGTGGTGGACTTTAGCAAAGCTTTTGATATTGTCTCCCACAGTATTCTTGCCAGCAAGTTAAAAAAGTATGGATTGGATGAATGGACTATAAGTGGATAGAAAGCTGGCTAGATTGTTGGGCACAATGGGTAGTGATCAACATCTCGATGTCTAGTTGGCAGCTGGTATCAAGCGGAGTGCCCCAGGGATTGGTCTTGGGGCCGGTTTTGTTCAGCATCTTTATTAATGATCTAGATGATGGGATTAATTGCACCTCAGCAAGTTCGCAGATGATACTAAGCTGGGGGGAGAGGTAGATACACTGGAGGGTAGGGATAGGGTCCAGGGTGATTTAGACAAATTGGAAGATTGGGCCAAAAAAAATCTGAGATTCAACAAGGATAAGTGCAGAGTCCTACACTTAGGAAGGAAGAATCCCACACACCACTACAGACTGGGGACCGACTGGCTAAGCTGTAGTTCTGCGGAAAAAGACCTGGGGATTACAGTGGACGAGAAGCTGGATATGAGTCAGCAGTGTGCCCTCTTTGCCAAGAAGGCCAATGGCATATTGGGCTGTATTATTAGGAGCATTGCCAGCAGATTGAGGGAAGTGATTATTCCCCTCTATTTGACACTGGTGAGGCCACACCTGGAGTATTGCATCCAGTTTTGGTCCCCCCACAACAGAAGGGATGTGGACAAATTGGAGAGAGTCCAGCAGAGGGCAATGAAAATGATTAGGGGGCTGGGGCACATGACTTACGAGGAGAGGCTGAGGGAACTGGGGTTATTTAGTCTGCAGAAGAAAAGAGTGAGGGTGGATTTGATACCAGCTTTCAACTACCTGAAGCGGGGGGTTCCTTAGAGCAGTGTTTCCCAAACTTGGGACGCCACTTGTGTAGGGAAAGCCCCTGGCGGCCCGGGCCGGTTTGTTTACCTGCCCCGTCCACAGGTCCAGCCGATCGCGGCTCCCACTGGCTGCGGTTCGCTGCTCCAGGCCACTGGGGGCTGCTGGAAGCGGCGGCCAGTACGTCCCTCAGCCCGCGTCGCTTCCAGCAGTCCCCATTGGCCTGGATGGCAAAACAGTGGGAGTCGCGATTGGCTGGACCTGCGGACGGGGCAGGTAAACAAACTGGCCCGGCCCGCCAGGGGCTTTCCCTACACAAGCGACATCCCAAGTTTGGGAAACACTGCCTTAGAGGATGGAGCTAGGCTGTTCTCAGTGGTGGCAGATGACAGAACAAGAAGCAATGGTCTCAAGTTGCAGTGGGGGAGGTCTAGGTTGGATATTAGGAAACACTATTTCACTAGGAGGGTGGTGGGGGAAAAAAAGGGGGGGTTACCTAGGGAGGTGGTGGAATCTCCTTCCTTAGAGGTTTTTAAGGCTCGGTTTGACAAAGCCCTGGCTGGGATGATTTAGTTGATGTTGGTCCTGCTTTGAGCAGGGGCGTGGACTAGATGACCTCCTGAGGTCTCTTCCAACCCTAATATTCTATGAATCTATGATTCTATGAACTCCCTGAGAGGACTCCTACCACATAATCTGTAACTATCTCTTGCCAGACCCACCTGGACAACTCACCCCAGCTAGATTGCTCAGACTGCCCATAAAGACAGCTCAACCATATTTCTACTCTCCCAACAGAGAAGCTCAGCTTACAAACTCATCTGTTCCTGCACTTCAGGGCAATGCATACTTAGTAAGTATGAGTGTACTTCCTAATACACTAGGAGTGAAATCCTGGCTCCATTAAAGTCAATGGAAGCGGTCTCAACAACAGCACACGCCTCCCTCAGTTCTCATTGTGGCATTCGGAATGGCCAGTTTACCAGCAAAACCTCTGCGGCATCAAGTGCGATTGACAAGATCAGCAACATTTAGGAGGTTTTAAATGGTGTGTAGCGAGGTTCTTCTAGGGATCTGCAAATCTGTCATCTCTGTCCAGTACAAACAAACATTGTTATTAATTTTACTTTCCCTGTTTTTCCTGGCATTTCCCTGAAGCCCTGATTTAGCATCCCTGATTCAGACTGCTGAACTCAACTGACCTTGGAAGGGTCAGGTTATTGTTTACACAAGGCAGGGTGGAATTGTATATACAAGCCAAGATGATTTACAGAAAACAAAGTCTTCTTTCAGCATAGAACAAGATGTATGTTTTGGTGATTTGAGTCATTTGTTGACTAAACTGGCCCAGTCACAAATTAGGCAGTCTTAGCTTCATTCTCAAAAATGTTTTGAGACTTCTTCGTTTATCATGACTTGGTATGCAAACCATTCAGTCCGCACAGAACCCAGAGAACTCAGTAGCACATCAGCATTGCCCCTGTTCCGTTACTAATCGATTAAAGTATGCCTTGCCCCATTTGGTGTTGTAAACCTCTTCCCCCTCCCAAACCCTAAAGAAGATGAAACCTGCAGGTGGCTATTTTACCTTTGTAAACCAGCCTTAGGCAGTAAATATTCAGCATGGTGCAGAGTGATTTAGAAATTGGACTCCTTTTAATGGAGTTATTTAATTAAATCCCTAGGCAGTAAATTGAAAATGCCTCCCTAGGTTTTTTGATGCAACATGTAACTCTCAGACACTAGGGGACACCTTTTCAGGGGTTTGCAAGTTAGATCATGTGGGTACCCAATTTGCCATAAATGACTATAAGCTTTGGTTACCCTTCCCTTTTTTGGGTCATATTTAGGGCTGTCAATTAATCGCAGTTAATTCACGTGATTAACTCAAAAAATTAATCACGATTTAAAAAATTTATCGTGATTAATCACAGTTTTAATCGCCCTGTTAAACAATAGAATACTAATTGAAATTTATTAAATATTTTGGATGTTTTTCTACATTTTCATATATATTGTATTCTGTGTTGTAACTCAAATCAAAGTGTATATTAGTTTTTATTATAAATATTTGCACTGTAAAAATGATAAACAAAAGAAATAGTGTTTTCAATTCACTTCATACAAGTACTATAATACAATCTCTTTGTTGTGAAGGTGCAACTTTTTTTTGTTACATAACTGCACTCATAAACAAAACAATGTAAAACTTCAGAACCTACAAATCCACTGAGTCCTATTTCTTGTTCAGCCAACCGCTAAGACAAACAAGTTTGTTTACATTTACAGGAGATAATGCTGCCCTCTTCTTATTTACAATGTCACCAGAAAGTGAGAACGGGCATTTGCATGGCACTTTTGTAGCTGGCATTGCAAGGTATTTACATGACAGATATGCTAAACATTTGTATGCCCCTTCATGCTTTGGCCACCATTCCAGAGGACATGCTTCCATGCTGTTAAAAAAATAATGTGTTAATTAATTTTGTGACTGAACTCCTTGGGGGATAATTGTATGTCTCCAGCTCTATTTTACCTGGATTCTGCCATATATTTCATGTTATAGCAGTCTCAGCTGATGACCCAGCACATGTTGTTCATTTTAAGAACATTTTTGCTGCAGATTTGCCAAAATGCAAAGAAAGTACCGGTGTGAGATTTCTAAAGATAGCTACAGCACTCAACCCAAGGTTTAAGAATCTGAAGTTGCTTTCAAAATCTGAGAGGGATGAGGTGTGGAGCATGCTTTCAGGTCTGTAAAGAGCCACTCTCCAATGCAGAAACTACAGAAAATCAACCTTCTGCTGGTGGCATCTGACTCAGATAATGAAAATGAACATGCGTTGGTCTGCACTGCTTTGGATTATTATCAAGCAGAACCTGTTATCTGCATGGACACATGTCCCCTGGAATGGTGTTTGAAGCATGAAGGGACATATGAATCTTTAGCACATCTGGTACGTAAATATCTTGCGATGCCAGCTACAACAGTGCCATGAGAACGCCTGTTCTCACTTTCAAGTGACATTCTAAACAAGAAGCAGGCAGCAAATTATCTTCTGCAAATGTAAACAAACTTGTATGTCTGAGTGATTTGCCGAACAAGGAGTAGGACTGAGTGGACTTGCAGGCTCTAAAATTTTACATTGTTTTATTTTTGAATGCGGTTTTTTTGTACATAATTCTACATTTGTAAGTTCAACTTTCATGATAAAGAGATTGCACTACAGTACTTGTATTAGGTGAATTGAAAAATACTATTTCTTTTGTTTTTTTACAGTGCAAATACTTCTAATCAAAAATAAATATAAAGTGAGCACTGTACACTTTGTATTCTGTGTTGTAATTTAAATATATTTGAAAATCTAGAAAACATCCAAAAATATTAAATGGTATTCTATTATTTTTAACAGTGCGATTAATAGCACGATTAATCACGATTAATTTTTTTAATTGCATGATTAATTTTTTTAATTGCTTGATAGCCCTAGTCATAATGGTATCAGACAGAGAAGGAAAGACTGATGTAGGGATGGACTTGGACAGATATAGCTGATACATATGGTTTCCTTCAAACAATTTGTATACATGTGCCTAATTACTGGGTTCTGTCTTGTTTTCTGTTGCAAAAAAGAAAAGAACTGCTGCCAGTCTATAATATTAGCCAACTTTTGTGGTTAAGACTGTAGTATTTTAGAACACCTAATGCTTAGATGCACTCTATTTTCTGTCTCTTATAGGAAAAAACCTCTAGATGAGATAGGTGCAATAAATAGTGTTCAGAGAGATTTTTATTTGAAATGGTTTTAGAGAAGCTAACAAAAGAAGTATTCTACGCAGAAGTATGCAAGGCAGAACTAATCACAATAGATGGTTGTGCAATTTGCATACCCAACATTCCGTTTATCCCAGTGGGCACCCATCATATTTCAAGACTGATGTGCTAGAAAATTTGGATTAGCTAATATCTAGGAGTTTATTCCCTGATTAAGAAATTTCCCTCCCTCACACTTAAATAGCACTTTCTCTCAGTCATATTGTAATAGCACAACAAACTAAATTAAGTGACAATAAATCTTTTCAAAATAAACAGTGTTAAGAAAAGTAGCAATTAATTTAGTTAGTAGCTTTCAAGCAAATTACCTTCTGAATTTCTTAGAACAGTTTGTGAAAAGAACATAGAGTGCAATGTTATTAATTATACATAAAGTAATTGTATAATAATCCCTTACATTTATGTTGCACATGATCCTAAAGTGCTTTACCAACTTACACTGAAATACAAACTATACACAAGGATCCTCTCATTAGCCATTTCTGGAGTGGAATAGAGTAACATTTTGCACACAAGGTGAGAGAGGTAATATCTTTTATTGGACCCACTTCTGTTGGTGAAATACAAGCTTTCAAGCTACAGAGTGCTCTTCTTCAGGTCTGGGAAAGGTACTCAGTATCACAACTAAATACAAGCTGGAACAGATTGTTTAGCATGTTTAAAGAAGCTGGTCTAATAAAAGATATTATCTTGTCCACCTTGTCCTCTAATATCCTGGGACCAACATGGCTACAACACTGCAAACAATTTCCAAGCAGAACATCTGCCAGTTCTAAGGGGACTTTGATTAGTCCCCTAGGACAGAAAGAATAGTATCCAGTTGTAAGGGTGTGGAGAGTTTATATAGGCAGAATGTATTTACTTGACTTGACTAGAGAAGAATCCTGGTTCACTGAAGTGAATAGGAACTTTGCCACTGACTGCCATGGGGCCAGGATTTCATGCATAATTTGCCTAGGAATCCAGGGTTGATATTTTTATTTATTTTAAAAGTGCCATTGGATTTTTAATGGCAGCAAGTGGAAAGGGCTTCAGTTTTATAATACAAAAAATGAATACAACCATCTTGGGGGGCTCTATTAAGGCTACAGCAATGTTTGCATTCTGCACTTGGCCAATAGGTAGGTCCAGAAATGATGGGAGTTGTTATAGTCTAGGGAATGTTGTTTTATGCAGTAAGTGTAGAATATTGCAGCACTCTTCAGAGACGGGCAATATTAGGGTTGTCACCTGGAGGAAGACCTCTCTCTATTGCTTCTGGGTACAGAAACCTCTGGCCAAGATTTTTTTTAAATGGGTGTGTAAAGTCTCCTAAATCCATATTTAGGCCCTGATTCAACAAAGTACTTAAACATGTGTCTAACATTCAGCATGTGAGCATTCCTATTGACTACAGTGGAACTACTCCTGTGCTTAAATATAAGCATGTGCTTAAATGTCTTGCTTCATTGGAGACTTAGCCTCTAAAAATATGTTGTCATCTTCAGAAGTAGGGAGCACCCAGCAGCTCTCAGTGAAGTCAAAGAAAAAAGAAATAGAATGAGAGTAGGAAGGAGAACCTTGGAGGATGCCTGCTCCCATTGTGGAAATGTAATTGAAACACGCACTGGCTAAAGTATAAAATAAAAGGTTAACCATAAAAACTAAACCCAGACTTTTATCCTCTATAAATATTTGTATGTATTTTAGCATTTAGAATTGTGGGAGAGAATAAATTCAGCACAAGATGGACCATCAGGAGAAGCAAATTAAGCCATATCTTTCACTTCAGTTCATTTTCCTGCCGTATTCCCTCCCACATAGAGTCTTAATAATCTTCTTCAGAGCCTCAAATCCTCCTCCTTTCACCTCCCCATTTAAGGCTGTATGCCACCTTCTTATGATAAAGAAATGGAGGGCCGGAGGAGACTCACTCCAGAGTCTGTCAATGCCACTCCTTCTTGAATCTTAGCAGTCATTGTTAAATGCCGTTGGGAATCTCCTCTTTAGGGCATAGCATGCTGACTGTAATATTTCTT